ATCGAGTTTAATAATCAAGCTAGGAATTTTGGAAGGAAATCTTGAATGTGCATTCGTGGGCAACTTGGGCTCTGTCGAAAATCTGGGATCCTTGACGAAGGCCCCTTGATGGTGGGAGATGACCTAGACAAAGTCCTCTTTGAGTCTAGAGGCAAGGACCTTGGAGAGGATATTGTAAAAGCTATCTATCAAGCTAATAGGTCTTAAATCTTTGAGTTCATCGGCCCCTTCCACTTTGGGGACCAAGGCAATGAAGGTGGCATTCATGGACTTGTGGACTACTCTTTTGTGGAATTCATTGAAGAAGGAGAGCATATCAGGACAGAGAGAATCCCAGAAGCTTTTAAAAAGGGCTATTGGGTAGCCATCCAACCTAGGGCTCGATCATGTACAAGGTCTTTAATAGCCTTGAGGATATCTTGTTCAGAGAAAGGGTGTTCCAGCCATACGGTTTGGTTAGGGGGATTGGATTGGAAAGAAAGGTCAGCCATCCTCAGTTTAGGTCCTAAGGGAGCATTAAACAGCTGCTTAAAGAAGTCAATGATGGCTTTTTCCACTAGCAGGGGTCAGTCGAAAACGATATCGCCTACTTTGATTTGGGTAATGGTGTTATCGCGTCTCCTACAGTTTGCTATTTTGTGGAAGAAGATTGTGTCGAGGTCCCAATCTTTCAGCCACTTTACCCTAGAGCGTTGAAACCAACAATTTTCTTCCTTGTGGAGGATAAGTTGGTAGTCAAGCTTGAGCTGAGACCTAGCCAGACTCTCATTGGAGTTTAAAGCCCGAGTATCCTCAATGAGGTCCCAGTTGTGCATAGATCCAAGCAGGGCTTCTTTTTGAACCTGGAAGTTGCCAGGGAGGTGCCAATTTCGATCTTTCAGGGAATTTTTTAAGGAGCTGCAATTTGTGTTGGAGTCAAAAACCTGCCCATCCTTGGGCCTGATCAGGGAAAGACTCCCACCAAGTAGGGATTACAGAGAGAAGGTTTGGCTCTTTGAGCCAGGCTATTCAAAGCGAAAGGGTATAGGCCCTCTCAAGGCTCGCTGAGTATTGAGAAGGATGGGCTTATGGTTGGAGGTGGGTTTGAGAAGAGCAAGGGCATGGGAGCCTAGGAAGGAAGCATCCCAATCAGGGCTAGTAAGGTAGCGATCTAGTTTTGAAAGGGAGGGGGTGGAGTTGTTAGACCAAGTGTATACTGCTCTTTGAAGGGAATGTTGAATCCGTTGTTTCTGAAAATAAAATCCGAGAGGTCAAGCATACTTCAGGAGACTCTGGAGCTTAAGTTTCTCGAAAGACCACCTAGTGACATTAAAGTCTCCTCATACGCAACACCTTGAGGGGGTAGGGAGGATCTGGCATCTAATTCTTCGCAGAGCAAGCCTTTGGAACTATCTAAATTAGAACAGTAGACAGCCGTGAATTTCCAAGGCATACAAATCAGAAATTCCAGTAAGGGCGGTAGTTACCAAGAAAGACGCCATTTGTTACAAAGAGAGGTCATGGGTAGTTGGATGCCAGATCATTCAAATCCCTTCTGAAACCCCATTGGCTTCCAAAGCCCATTGACAGGGCGTAGATCCCCAAACCCAATGGATTTGGCGGAGGGATGAGAGCGGTTGTTTGGTTTCAATGGGCGTGAGAACCAAAGGGGAAAGTTTTTGGCGAAAGGCTCATGAGAAATTGCATCTATGAGGACCACCCAGACCCCGAATCCCCCACATAAGTATTTTCATGAGGGATTGAAAAGGAGGAGGAGGAGGAGGGGGGGGGAGGTGGCGGGGGGGGGATGTTGTGTCTAGAGAAGCGCCTAGGGAGCTTTTGAGCCAAGGTGGTTGAATTTGTAAGAGAGGCAGGTGAGGAAGAGGGTTTGGTCTAGCCGTGATAGATGCCGAAGGTGAGGTTTGAAAGCTCCCTTTTGCCTTTTCTAATTACTTTGAATCTGGTTCTAGCATCCACTTAGAGGAAGGCGTCGATGTCTGCTTCATTGCCGTCATACTGGAACACCATCACCTTGAGGACTTGTTGGATGTCGCATTGAGCATTGTACATATGCCGGTGATGAAGTTAGAGTCAACCGGGGGAGAAGACAATGAAGAGGATGCCAAGATGGGGCGGAGTGGAGAGTCAGAGGAGTTGTAGCGAAGATGAGAGGAGAAGTTGGCTTCTCTACGAGAGATAGGAGGGCGTGTCCATCGGTGGAGAGTAACAGGGCCAAGTGAAGAAGGGGATTGAGTGAATGAGGTAGTGGTTTGGGGTAGGGGTGGGAGGTGGGGTCAGCATTGGGTTGGTAGCAAGTATCGAGGTGGGAGAGGGGCCAAGACCAAGGAGTTGAGGAACCGGGATAGCGACTAAGGGGGGCAGGTTGAAGAAGTCTTGGTTAAGGAGGATGGTGTTATGGGGAGGTGAGGAAGTGATCGGGGAAGGCAGAAGGCAGAAGGCCCGGCCAGGTGGTTGGGGAAGTAATGGAGAGAACCATGAAAGGGAAGAAATCTAGGGATGAAGGGGTGATTAGAGAGAGGGATGTTGGGGCGTGCTGGGGAAAGGGAAGAAAAAAAAGGGGTGGGAGGGGGTGTGTCGTTAGGGAGTGTTTGAAGAGTTCCCCCCAGCCCCCTAAAGGGTAAAGGAGGGGGGGAAAGGAGAAGAGAGGGTGGAATGCGAGGTGCAAGTAAGGGGGAAGTAGGAGAGAATGAACTGGGTGTTTGTACACCCCTTTTTAGACCTCTTTAGAACATGCATTGAAAAGGCACCACCCTTGGTCTTACTGTGGGCTGGGCATGCACTCTCTATAATCTTTTGGGTGGCGTGCTACCCCTATAGGCTAAGATGGTGCGTCCCACCTTTTGGTGACTAGAGAAGAGAGAGAGAAACAGATAGAGAGAGTGGGCCATGGAGGGAGAAGAGAGAGAGAGAGAGAGAGAGAGAGAGAGGAGTAGTAGTAGTGGTAGGAGAAGAAGTAGACGACGAGGACGTACCCTCCCTTACTTAGTACGTACCGTACCGTACGGCCCGACCTACTAACTAAATT